GTCGCGAATGCAAGAGCGATAAGGGGAGAGAGATACGGGGATGGAGAGGGGATGAGCAGGAGGGTGGGCGACGAGCGGCAGGGAGTGCGACGAGACAAAGGGGGGCAACGGGCGGAAGGGAGCGTGACGAGGGGAAGGTAGGGTGGCGGGCGGTCGAGAGGGCAATGGGAGGAAGCGAGGGCGACGAGACGAAGGGAGGGTGACGGGCGGAAGGGGGGGCGACAGGCGGAAGGGAGGGCGACGGGCGAAAGGCAATGCGACGGGCTGAGGGAGTGCGACGGGCGGAAGTGAGTGAGATGGGCGGAAGGGGATGCGACGAGCACAAGGGAGTGCGACGCGCAGAAGGGAGGGCGATGGCGGAAGGGGATGCGTTGAGTGCTAGGGAGGGTGATGGGCATAAGGGAGGGCGACGGCGGGAGGGAGGGCGATGGGCGTAAGGGAGTTCGACGGGCGAAAGGGAGTGCAGGCACACGGAAGGGAGTACAGGCATGCGGAAGGGAGTGCAGGCACACGGAAGGGAGCGCTGCAGGCAGAAGCGGGTGCATCGAGGAGTTGGCAAGCGTGTTGAAACCAGGCAAGTGTCCGTTCCTTGCGCTTAGCACACCACCATCGTCCCTAAAGAAATGGGCAAACCCGGTGACGTTTTTCTTCATTCTGGTATTTTTTCTACTTCTTCTTGGAGAACAACAAACACGCTGCTGGGTGGATACAGACAGCTTGCTGCCATTGTAAAATTGGGAGCGTACACGCTCTTTTGGTCCTGAGTAGCGGGGAGTAGACTACGCGTATTGTGCCTAAATATGGCTGCCAAGTAGTACAACTTGGTTTTCAAGTTTACTGAATGTGAACAGTGCTCCATCTCCCGTTGACACGTCACCCCAAAAGCCTTGTTTTGTTGCTGGCAAATCATGCATAAGAGTTGCAAAACATCTCCTCCTCAACGCGACGAAATGCTTCACTTCGGGTAGTAATTTGGTTTTTGGCGAGTTCATATTTAAGAACCTTGAATTTGAAATCAGCCATGTGGAACTCGGGCCTTAACATCCAAATTTTTTAGCTTCCATATCAGCAGTGGGAATCGGCCTTGCAAACTTCGCCTCCACAGGGTCTAAGCAACAAATTGTTTGGGACCCTACCATAAAGGGAGCAGGAAGCGCTTTGGGATAGACCAACGAGACAATTTCGGCCTCCCACAAGGGAACTTACAAACGGATGAGCTTTTTTAATGTGCTTAGAGTCTTCCAGCTACTACATCTGGATGTAAAACTCAATCTGTGGAGCCAGCTTGCCTTATTCCCCGTGAGCACGCTTCTCCCGTTTTGATTCTGCTATATGATTCCATCTCTACATAGGTGGTTCAGCAACGATACACTCTTAACTAGTATAAACTAGCGCTGTGAAAATTGAAGTTCGATCCATTGAGTACAAAATACAGAGGTGGTGGTTGTTGCTCATGAAAAGTTATTTTGAAGATCATGTATTTGGTCTTCTCAGGTATTCTAAAGTGCATCCATAAAACTATAATGCATGCCACGGCTGTTAATATGCTACTGCTGCTAATGTAACGTCTGTAAGCTTACACACGAGCCAAATTAAGAATCCACTTCGCCTTTACAACTCTTGTTTTGACCCAGCAGTTGGCTGTGACTTGTAAAATGAGAGCCTAGGGTTTTGAAGCCATATTGGTCCACCTTTCTCTTTTTGCAATGATAAATGGAATAGATCGATAATGAGGTCCATGTGGTATTGGGCAGGCACGAGCTGGTCAGGGAGGCAGGTCGCAATGATGTACCGGGTGAGATGCGTGGAGCATAGTTGAGTACCAAGATTGACAACAGTAAAGAAAAAAGGTGAGAAGGATAGAGGAAGGGCATGAGAAGGCACCGTAGAGCAGTACAAGAGGATGTAGAGTATCGAGCAATAATATCATAAAAGTGCTCCTTCGCCATCTCGGCCTAGCAGTAGTGGACCGGCCGGGCCTGTGGTAGGAGATGACCAATGGCAAGGTGCGCAGAAACGTCTCCCAAGTGTGTACGCAGCTGGGTGTCACAATACTCCTTCTGCTGCTTGGTGGTGGCATCAGCGGCAATCTTTGTAGGACGTGGGGAGTGCAGGCAACTCATTGAGGCATGGACGTACAGGAAGACGTTTGGAACAAGGAATGGCTCGAGCTAGCAGCTAGAGCTAGGAGTGGCCAGAGCTGGGAGAGGCTGGACACGACTGGCTAGAGCTAGAAGCGGCTGGACCTAGGAGTGGTTGGAGCTAAAAACGGTTGGACCTAGGAGCTGCTGGAGCTAGGAACGGCTGGAGAGGCAAAACAGATGGCAGTGTGGGCTACAATGAGGGTGGCTGTACGGATAGCAACTTGCGACAGGACGGGTAGTAGTGTGGATGTCCGGGAGGGCGGCTTTGTGGAAGACTATGTGCGATTACAGGCGGCGAGATGGACAGCAGTGTAGATGTAAGCACGGGCAGTTTTACGAAAGGTTATAGGCGGATACGAGTGGTTGAAAGGACATAAGAGTGGGCTGCAGTAAGTTAGGTTGAACGAACGACCGATGGTAATGCACACTACTGCCAGTACGTGCTAATACTAGTGCACCTACCACAGCAGCATGCGCCGGAGCTGCAGCAGTGGCGGCTCTGGTGTATTGCTGCTGCTGGTCACATTGGTATGCAGCAGCATGATGATACTGCTATCACACGTTAGCTACGGCTATGCGTTAGGACCTGGTGCTGCGTGTGGGGAAAGGCAGTAGTAGAGCAGCGTCCACGATGGACTACAATTGCTAGCACGCTGGTTGCGACCTAACGAGCAGCTGGCACATTACAATGTACTGCTACAGTTGCATGCACGCAGGCGTCACCCTAACACAGCTGCTAGCGCATTACAGGGGCTGCACACGTAGCTGGCATACGTACAAGCAAATGTACTTGCTGGCGACAACGTAATGCAGCAGCGCGATAGGCAGTAGCAGCACGATGAGCGGCACAAACGGGATGGATGGCGGGAGCGCGATGAATGGCCTGGCGACGGGCTATGCAAGGCTCAAATTGAGGGGTCGTGGAGGCCTTGCGAGGCGCGAATCAATTGGGCTGCAAGAGAGAGCCTAACGGGGCACGAACTGAGGGGCCTATGGGGCACGAAATGAGGGGCGCAAAATTGGGGCCTTTGGGGCACGAAACGAGGGATCGTGGGGATCATTTACGGGGCGACTCAAGGTGTCAGAATGTTCTTATCTAGCCATTAGTGGGGTGCTCTATAGCGAGTACAACCCTGTTAGGGTTTGCTATATGTATCTCCACTGCTGCTAGTCAAGCCCTCTTCTCTCTTCTAACTTTCACACAAGGGACCCGCGGGGGTTGTGTAAGAAGCAAATTGGACGACCCGCAAGGGTCGTCCTAAGTGGCAATTTGGGACGCTGCTGGCTTGCACGCTAAGGATGGCGGTGCTGGCTGTTCACAGCTGCCAACACCTCACGCCACCTTGCACGCTGGTGTGCATGCTGGCATTCGCTGTTGGCGTGCTGCTGGCTTGTGCGCTCGTAGCAGTTGCTGGCGCGCTACTAGCGTACTAGCGCTGATGGGCTGTGCGCTATTGTGCACACTGACGTGCGCACTGAGGTGGCACCTGATGTGCGCACTAGGGCGGCACCTGGCGTGCGCACTTGGGCGGCACCTGGCATGCACGCTGGCTTGTTGATGTGTCCGCTGGTGTGCGCTAGCGGGCTGCGTGCTGGCGACTGTTGCTAGCGCACAGCTGGTGAGCTGCGTGCTGGTGGCAGCTCTTGGCGTGCGCGCTGGCTCGTTGATGAGTGCGCTGGAGTGCGATGGCGGACTGCGCGCTAGCGGCAGCTGATGTAACGCATTGCCCTAACTAAACTCACTAACCAACTTCCCTCTAGGCAAATGTTGAGAGTTTCCTGGACGAGGACTTGGAGAAGAAGGTTGGGTTGGGTTAGGATAAAACTTGGTTTGGGTTTGCCAAGCCTCTACTTGGAGACTTGGAACTTTTCCAACTCAACCAAGAAAATGTTGAAGGTTGGATTTCCAACCAATCACAAACTGCGAAACAATCGTTACAATTTACTCTATCCTAAACGCAACCATTCAATGGTCCTATGTTGGGTTTTCCCAACCCAACTAATTGCCACATAAGCTCCAAGCCTAAGAACCATCCCACCATGGAAACCATGGTTGGGAGAGTTCCCAAAGAAGTGTATTGGGGGGGTTTGAGTTCCCAAGCTCATTCTTCGCCTCCCACTCCAACTAATCAAACAGAAATGGGATTGTTTTCCCTAAGTCATTGAGAGCTCTCTCACACAACTCTCTACACAACTTCTTCAAGTGCTTCCCATCAAAGGTTTCAACAAGACTCTCATCTCCAAGGCTATTAAGAGGGGTTAGCTAGAGCTACCATCTTGTACCAAGATTCTTATAAAAGCCTTGTAATCTCTACTATAATAGCCTCGGGTGTTACATTGGTATCTAGTGCAAGGTTCTTCCTCCGACTTGTGTGGCCATTTTACTTCTTGATCTAGGAGTTCATCCAAGGAGGTGTAAAGATTTTGAAGAGATCTCAAGATCTACAAAGGTCCCTTCAAGATCTACAAGAGCTTCTACAAGACCTACAAGCTTCAAGTTACAATTACTTAAGTCATTCATTGGAGCTACAAGATCTACAAGGAGTTTCTTATTTTTATCAACTTTGAGAAGAAATTTGAAGATATTAATTTCTCTTACCTACCTTTGGTGAAAGACTCTTGATCTACCTTGGGTAGAAGAGTATATTTTCAGATCTACAAGGACTTGTTGAGGATTACTCTCTTGAGTATATCTTACTCTATCATTGAGGTGATAGAGAGATTTTGCAAGCAAGTCAATCTTAAGAACCTCTGTATTGGATTATTATATAAGCGTAATCATATTTCCTAAAGGTTATTATAGGATCTGTTGAGATCTTTTTTTCCATAACCTATTTCTTAGCTTTTGGTCAAGAGATGGATGCTTCTAAGGAGGCGCCTGTGGTTGGCAATGAAGGGGATAATGTTGCTGCTACTGTTGTTGCTGACATTGATCTTAACCAAGATGAGTTCTTGGATGACCTGGAGATCAATGGCAGTGAAGCTAAAGCTGAGGCTGGTGCTGATAATGAGGATGAGGCCGATACTAACGAGGGTGTCTCCAATGAGACTGAGGACGGTGCTGTCAAGCTCTAGACCTGGATCACGAAGCAGAATGTTCTCATTGGGAGCAGCAGTGCTGCATCCAAAACTTGGAGGCTGACTCTGCCCAGCTCAAGACCTTGATTGAGGAGCTGATCAAGGAAGTGCAGCTGATCCCTAAGGGCACCTCCAACTTCATTATAGACCTGCAGAACACTCTCAAGTTCGTGCAAGGGCAGCTCAATAAGCATCAGACTCTCATCTCCCAGCTTCAGGCTCAGTACAAGGAGATCCGGCGTGGCAACATCTATCAGCCTCCTCCTGCAGCTGAGCGTGCCGCAGCTTCCACCAATAGCCGTGCTGAACCTGCTGTCACACCTTCTGCTGTCTCCCCTACTGCTGGAGCACGTGTTGAGCCTCCTTCTGTAGTTGCAACTGCCTTTGGCTCCTGCCCTTCGGCCCTGCCTCGTTTTGTCCACGGCAAGACCGATGTCAAGATTTGGCTCTCCATTGCGGAGGACTTCATGTCTGTCCACAATGTGCGTAGCGAGGCTCGCGTGGTCGCAGCGACCCTTGCCTTGGATGACACGGCGAGCAAGTTGGTGTATGCCAACGAGCGCCACGCAGAGGCAAATGGCCATCCTTTTGGCTGGGAGGAGTTCAAAGCCGCTATGCTGACGGCATTCCTGAGTCAGCCCCCGGCGCTCGAGGTGCGTAGCCGCCTAGAGAACATCCAGTGCGGTGACCAGCCTGTACGTCAGTATGCCAAGGAGTTCGAGAAAACTCTGTCGCTGCTGAAGACCGCTTTTCCTGAGAGCGAGGTCATCCACCAGTTTTTCGAGCACACTAAGCGTGTGCACGTTGTTCGAGGGGAGCACCTGTGGAAGACCTACAAGGAGTGCAAGGAGCATGTCATTGACACGGATGTGAATTTTCGTGCGTACATGAGTCACGCTCGTGCTCAGCAGCCGCCTAGTGCCGAAGGCCCTTAGGGGGGGTGGTAGCAGGACCTCGGCGCCCAAGGGCCATGGTTCTTGGAAGAGGCCTTATCAGCAGAAGGGGGAACCCTCTGGGACACAGTCCAAGAAGCCCATGCGGGGTCCACCAAGGACCCTCAGGATGCTGATAAGCCCTCGGCGGGTTGCCACATCTGTGGAAAGCTCGCCCACAAGGCCTACAATTGCTGTTGGAGGAAGACGGTCAATAATTCCAGCAAGCCCAACCAGGGCAAGAAGTCGTATGGTTCTGATCCTTCGGGTCCCAAGGATTTTCAGAAAAACAACTAGGGGGTGGGTACCTGTCAGAATGTGTAGTTTGTCTAGCCTGCAGTGGGGTACTCTGTAGTGAGTACGGCCCCTTAGGGTTTCCTATATGCATCCACCTGCTTGCTAGTGCAACCCCTCTTTTGCCTATTCTCTCGTGCCTAGCTAGCTAAACCCTAGCTATGGTTCCTGCATTCCTCTAACCACTATTCTGACATGGTATCAGAGCTGATACGCTCTTGGCCTGTGGGCCCACCTGCTTCCGCTGCTTTCCTGTCTATCGCGTGCCCCGTGGCGCGCGACGCTGTGTTTTCTTCCCGCCACGCGCTCGGGGCGCATGGCGGTTTTCTGCCCGCCGTGCGCCCCGAGGCACGTGGCGGCTTCCTGCTTCACGCGTCACCCCGGGGACCCGCGCGTCCCCCCCCGTCGACAATCGCGTCGCCCCCCCTGGAGCCCGTCGCGTCGCCCTGCAACTCGCGCGCGGCCCTCGGTGCCCCGTCGCGATGCCCTGGAGAGCCGCGCGCGGCCCCCGTTGCCCCGTCGCGACGCCCTGGGGAGCCGCGTGCGACCCCCTGCTGCCCCGTCGCGACGCCCTGGGGAGTCGCGCGCCCCCCCCCCTCCCGCTGCCCTGTCGCGGCACCCTGGGGGCCGCGCGCCGTCTCCTGCGCTGCTGCCCGCGCTCCTGCCCCGTGCTACCCGTGTTAGGGTTTGGGGGTGGCGAGTGTGGGGGTGGCGGGTATGGGGGTGACGGGTGTGTGCGCCATCCCCTCCTCCTCCTCCTCCTCCTCCTCCTCCCCCTCCTCCTCCTACTCCTCCTCCTCCTCCTCCTCCTCCTCCTCCTCTACCTCCTCCTCCGTCTCCCATTGCTGCAGCTGTCGTTGAGGGGGGTGGGTGTGTGGGAGCGGAAGGAGTGGTGCTAGGGGGGTGTCGTGGGAGTGATGCTAGGGGTGCAGCAGGGGGTGTGAACGGGAGCTTTGGGACAAAGGGGGAGGTTGAAAGGGGGTGGCTGCCGTGAAGCCAGCAGCTCCAGTCGCCCGTGAGACCGTTGCACCAGTCGCCCGTGAGCCCGTCGCTCGAGTCGCCAGTGAGCCCGTTGCTCCAGTCGCCCGAAAGTCAGTTGCTCCTACCACTCGTCTAGCCGCGGAGCCAGTTACTCCAGTTGCCTGTGTGCCAGTTGCTCCAGTTGCCAGTGTGCCAGTTGCTCCAGTTGCCCGTGTGCCAGTTGCTCCAGTTGCGCCGTGTGCCAGCAACTTCAGCTGCCGCCCACTACCTCCTCTCCTCTCATAGTCCCTCCTCCTCCTCACTAGCCCTCTGTGATAGACTCTAGCTTTGCTTATATTTGTGAACTATAAACTGCTGCTTGTTGTGCTGATCATAACCCACTTTGACTATGGGAGTGTGTCAGAATGTGTAGTTTGTCTAGCCTGTAGTGGGGTACTCTGTAATGAGTACGCCCCCTTAGGGTTTCCTATATGCATCCACCTGCTTGCTAGTGCAACCCCTCTTTTGCCTATTCTCTCGTGCCTAGCTAGCTAAACCCTAGGCTATGGTTCCTGCATTCCTCTAACCACTATTCTGACAGTACCTAGTTAGTGAAAGGGATCAAGTACATAAGGCTTATGTTCTTTGTGATGAGGATTTGCTAAAGCTAGAGAAGCTTGCGTCATGCAAAATCGCTTGTTTGTATGCCTCTTCTATTAATGAAAAATCTGTTTTTAAAGCTCGATTATACCCAGTTGAAAACATTTCAATTGAATCCTTGCGAGATAAATTTTCAATCATCTCTTGCTCGTTCAAGGAGTCGATTTGCGCCGATTTCACGAATGGCATATCCTGGCAACATGGGACAAAGGGCACCATGTTTGGTGGACCACATCCCAAAGGTTTAGACATGTTCGCAACAAATTTATGGTGTACTATCGACCTCCTAAACTTGTAGTCAATTTTCCCATCTGTCCAACGATTCAACAGAGTTTACTAGTTGTCTAGACGCATGAACGGGGACACAGCAAGGATTCTTGTCGATACGGGCGCGTCGTCTTTCCTTGTTGATGAAACTTGGGTTACGGCATGCAACGTCTTCGTTGTAGGACCGTCATGTCGCATCCGCTTGGGTGACGATCGTGTCATTCCAAATAAAGGATAGATACATATTGATTTGAATGTACAGGACTGCGAAACAGTTTGCGTGTATGTCCTACCCCTTTTGTCAGATGTCGACCTCATCCTGGGCATGGATTGGTTGCGAGCCAACGAAGTCATTCTGGACTTCCAGTACAACACTGTCTTATTCAACAAGAACAAAAATACAATCTAGTGGCAATTCAATGATACTTCACTCACTGAAACAAAGACGCCTGAACGTCCAAGCGCGCTGTGTGTGTTGGCCAACCAGTTCGGGCATATTGTGAAATTGGCTGATACAATATTCGTGGTACAGCTTGAAAATACTGAGACACCGGAGCCAACAATTGATGATTTCCCTCCTGAAATGCAAATACTGGCCGAGGAACTCAAGTAAGTGTTTGAAACCATCCCTGATGGACTTCCACCTGACCGCGTAGTGGGTCAAACCATCCCTGTTGAACCAAGAAAGGTTCCACCCTTTCGACCTCTGTATCGCCTCAGTCCAGCTGAGTACGAGGAGGCTAAACAGCAGATCAAGGAATACATTAGAGAAGGATGGATTATGTCGAACTTATATGCTATAGTCTGTTTAGGCTGTAGTGGGGTAGTCCATATGGGGTACAACACTTTAGGGTTTCCTACTTGTACTCCTCATGCTGCTCAATGCAATCATTTCCTTCCTCAGATTTTCACATGGTATAGAGCAGGTTCCCTAGTGGGAACACTTCCTAAGGGCCCACCACTAACAAATTTTCTGCCCGGAGCGCGCTTCTCTCCTGCCCGAGTCGTGCCCCGTGTGCCCTCCCTCCAGTCGCGTCCCTAGCCCTTAGCGGTCCGTCGCGCCCTCCTTAGGCCCCTAGCGGCCTTTTTTGCGGCCCCTCGCGGCCCCTCTCACGGCCCTGTCGTCGCGCCCCTTAGCGGCCCGTCGCGGCCCCTTAGCGGCCCCGTCGCCGCCTCTGGAGGCCCAGTCGCCGCCCCTAGTGGCCCCGTCGCCGCTCCCCTCCCTACACGGCCCCGCCGCCGCCCCTACGCGGCTCTATCGCCGCCCCTAGCGGCCCCGTCGCCGCCCCTAGCGGCCCCGTCGCCGACTCCCTCCCTACACAGCCCCATCGCCGCCCCTACGCGACCCCGTCGCCGCCCCTAGCGGCCCCGTCGCCGCTCACCTCCCTACGCGGCCCTCTCGCCACCCCTATGCCGCCCCGTCGCCGCCCCTAGCGGCCCCGTCGCTGCCCCAACGCGGCCCCGTTTCCGCCCCTAGCGGCCTCGTCGCCTCCTCCCTCCCTACGTGGCTCTTCGCCGCCCCTACGCGGCCCCGTCGCCGCCCCTAGCGGCCCCGTCGCCGCTCACCTCCCTACGTGGCCCCGTCGCCGCCCCTACGCGGCCCCGTTGCCGCCCCTAGCAGCCCCGTCGCCTCCTCCCTCCCTACGTGGCCTTGTCGCCGCCCCTACGCGGCCCCGTCGCCGCCCCTAGCGGCTCCGTCGCCGCTCACCTCCCTACGTGGCCCCGTCGCCGCCCCTACGCGGCCCCGTCGCCGCCCCTAGCGGCCCCGTCGCCGCCCCAACGCGGCCCCGTCGCCGCCCCTAGCGGCCCCGTCGCCTCCTCCCTCCCTACGCGGCCCTGTCGCCGCCCCTACGCGGCCCCGTCGCCGCCCCTAGCGGCCCCGTCGCCGCCTCCCTCCCTACGCGGCCCCGTCGCCGCCCCTACGCGGCCTCGTCGCCGCCCCAACGCGGCCCCGTCGCCGCCCCTAGCAGCCCCGTCGCCACCTCCCTCCCTACGCGGCCCCGTCGCCGCCCCTACGCGACCCCGTCGCCGCCCCTAGCGGCCCCGTCGCCGCTCACCTCCCTACGCGGCCCTGTCGCCGCCCCTACGCGGCCCCATCGCCGCCCCTAGCCGCCCCGTCGCCGCCCCAACGCGGCCCCGTCGCCGCCCCTAGCGGCCCCGACGCCTCCTCCCTCCCTACGCGGCCCTATCGCCGCCCCTACGCGGCCCCGTCGCTGCCCCTAGCGGCCCCGTCGCCGCTCACCTCCCTACGCGGCCCCGTCGTTGCCCCTACGCGGCCCCGTCGCCGCCCCTAGCGGCCCCGTCGCCGCCCCAACGCGGCCCCGTCGCCGCCCCTAGCGGCCCCGTCGCCTCCTCCCTCCGTACGCGGCCCCGTCGCCGCCCCTAGCGGCCCCGTCGCCGCGTCCCTCCCTACGCGGCCCCGTCGCCGCCTCTACGCGGCCTCGTCGCCGCCCCTATGCGGCCCCGTCGCCGCCCCTAGCGGCCTTGTCGCCGCTCCCCTCCCTACTCGGCCCGGTCGCCGCCCCTAGCGGCCCAGTCGCCGCCCCTACCCGGCCCCGTCGCCGTCCTTAGCGAGCAGCCGAGCCGCCCAGCAGCCGAGCCGCCGAGCCGCCCAGCAGCGGAGCCGCCCCTTGAGCAGCCGCCATTGCAGCAGCCGCCCCTGGAGCAGCCGCCCCTACAGCAGACGCCCCTAGAGAAGCCGCCCCTGGAGCAGCCACCCCTGCAGCTACCGCGGAGCTCTCGCCCTACAGTGGTAGCGGCCTCGCCGTTGCCGCCATCCTACGCCTGCCCTTCTCGCCACTGGTGAGCACTGCCCTGCCCGT